GATCCGATAGGACGTCTAAGACGATGCCTTCCTCTGATTCGCACAAGTCGACTAGGTCGGCTAGATATTGGAACATTGGAACATTGTATTTAATGGGAATAAAAGCTCGAGCTTTACATGACCCATAGGGTAAAAAGAGTTCGGGTCGGGTCTAATGAAAGGCCAAGCAACCTTATAGCGGGTTGGACTCGCGTGTTAGCCGTATCTTCATCGGGCTTATGCGGCATTTAAACAGAATGCACGCCGGCTCAAAGCGTGACATCCCACCACGCCCTCCGAAACGGCTTTGGAAAGGAAGTAGGTAGAAGAAAAAGAAAGAAATTCCATCCAGTAGAAGGTAGTTATATTAGGGAATATCGCGGTGTAACTCGGCCAGATGACAGTCCAGCGGGTCTTAAAGTCCGCCACAGTGGGTGCCAAGACTAAATCGGCAGGCAGAGCATTCCACGGTCGGCAGATTCGCAAAGCGAAGTAGTGTCGTCTGCAGTTCAGCCGACTGTGCTGATGTGTGAGCCTCAGTGGGTGGCCACGTAGGTGGGAGCCCGATTGGTGCAGTGTGAGTAGGTGGCGACAGGGATGTCCAGGGTTGGATAAGATCATGAATACAAGGATCAGGTCACCCCGTAGACGTCGGTACTTAAGCGAGTAGAGGCCCAGGCACTGAAGTCGTTGTGGATAATCTAGGTGCTTGAGACCTCGGACCAGTTTGGTTGCTCGACGTTGTGGGGCTTCGAGTATGCGTTGGTCCTTCAACAACCAAGGGCTCCAAGCCTGAATAGCGAACTCCAAGTGGGGTCGAAGAAAAGCGTTGAGGAGGAGGCGGAAATTGCTGGGGTCAATTTGACCGAAGGCTCGTTTCAGCAATCCCACCATGCGGTTAGCAGCAGCTGCTGCTTTCCGGCAGGAAGCGGATACGGAAAGACTCGTCTGGGTAATGATACCCAAGTCTCTTTCGGCTGAAGAGATCTGGAGGATAGACGCTCCCAGGTAATATATAGGAGAAAAAGCGGAAGGGCGGGTAGAAAGGACGCGACATTTCGAAGCGTTAAATGGAAGGTTGTTTTCTATGGACCACTGATGTAGACGGTCGAGGTCCGTCTGAAGTGCGTGGGCATCGTCCGGAAGGTTAATTGTGCGCCACAGCTTCGCGTCATCCGCGTATAGCAGCAGCGAAGACTCCACTTGCGGTGTGACGTCAATGAAGGCTAGGAAGAGGTGCGGTCCGAGAACAGACCCCTGTGGAACTCCGCTTGTGGCAAGGATGCGGGGAGACAACGCTCCGTCGACGCGTACTTGGAAGGTACGGTTTTGAAGGTAGTTCCGGATCCAGTCCATCAAGGCCCCTGAAACGCCGTAAGACAACAGTTTCTGCAGTAGAATCTTGTGGTCGACCTTGTCGAAGGCTTTGGCGAAATCCAGGAATATAACATGCGTTTCTAGGCCAGAGTCGGCAGCAGTCGTCCAGCTGTCCCTGGCAAGTAGCAGGTTACTCAGGCATGACCGTTGACGCCGGAAACCGTGCTGGCAATCAGAGAGCAGTTTCTGGGCCTCCATGTAGTCCATTAAAGCGTCTGCGACGATCGATTCCATCACTTTGGAGATCGTAGATAGGAGAGTTATCGGTCGGTAATTGGCCGGATCTTTGCGAGTACCGCCTTTGTAGATTGGTGTAATAGTCCCACATTTCCAATCATTGGGAACTTTGCCTTGCGAGAAGAAGTGGGTGAACAGCTCCGCTAGGGGTAAAGCTAGAGCTGCAGCGCACGCTCGCAAGAGCCGTGGGTGGAAACCATCAGCGCCAGGAGAGGCCGTTAGCCGCAGGGATTTGAGTTTCGCCAGGACCTTCTCCGGAGTGAAATGAACAGTCGTCAGGGAAGTTGAGGGTGAAACCGAAGAAGGTACCGTCGTTGTGTGCATTGATGGAACGGAGAATGTGGATGCGTACTGCTGGCACAGGACTTCTGCTGCCTCGTTAGCTGATTTCGTGAGCCCTGTGGGGGTCGTCAGTGCGGTGACACCGTGCTTGACTTGTCGAAGACTGTTGACGTGACTATACAAGGCTTTGGGATTGGATGAAAATTTACGCATAAGCTGACGCTGATGCTCACTCTTATCTTCTCGTACAAGATGGACGCATTGGTTACGGATGGATCGGTAATATTCCCACTGAGTGGCCGTTGGATGGGAGCGATAGTTTCTCCATGCCGTGTTCCTGGAGGCAATCCATTTCCGTGTACGACTTCGGATGAGTGCTGGGCGTCTCTTCCCTATGGAAACTTCTTTGCACGTCGTCGTAGTGGAGCAGAGTTCACGTAGGGTAAGGCAAAAGCTTGACCACACGCTGTCGGCACTCGATTGGGGCTCGGGTGACCAGTTGTTAGCGGAAATGAGAAGGTTCAACTTTCCGTAATCAGTCCAGCGTTTGGTATAAGTTGGCGTGCTGACGAGTTTTTCGGCGAAGCATATAAAATCGAAACGGAGGACGCAGTGGTCGCTAAGCCCCAAAGGGGCATCATACTCAACGTGCTCAACCATCAGTTCTTCGTTAGTGAGGACGAGATCTAGCAGGGATGGTTGGTTGTTGGATCGGAATCTGGTCGGCTGATACGTGTGGTTGTACAACGGGGCCGTGTGAAGAAGATCAATGAGGCCTGATGCAAAGGAGTTAGTAGACGGGACAGAGTGAAATAGACGGGGCAGGTTGAAATCACCCATGATAAGAAAGTGTGTGCGCTTGTGGGATAACATAAGGTGGACGTCGTGCAGTAGTCGTGCGTCCTTCTCGGGAGAGTTGTTTGGGGGCGGTAAATGATACCAAGACAGCTGGAGTGTTTGGCGGTTAGTACGACCTCGCACCACATGGTGTCTGGAGACTGGAGGGCAGTGTTTGTTAACATGCTGCAACTGAGGGAGATGTCATAGTACAGTGCGACACCGCCACCTGGGGTTGCGCGGTCAGAGCGGAGAACTGACATGTGAGGAAGTTGGATTTCACCGTCGGTTATGTCGCCGGAGAGCCACGTTTCCGTTATGGCTATTAGGTCCGCTGGTGTTGACAGAAGTCGGGATTGGAGCTCCGGAAGTTTGGACATGAGGCCCTGTGCGTTCGTGTAGATACAGGTGAGGCCCGTTTGAGTGATGAGCGCGGGAGTAACTAGGGTGCTGCCGGTCAGCAGATGACCGGCAGTGCACCGTTTTTTTGGTTTAGAGGGGTGGAGCCGCTAAGGTTTGTAGTTGGGGAAGCAAGGTGTGGGTCGTCGGAGCACAGATGGGTGCTGGCGGCTGGGTCGTTGAAAGACTGAAGGTTGGAATGTGTAGGTGAGTAAATTACTCCAGGCAGTGAGGCAGATGGTTCGGTGATGGACCGTCTGAGGACGATTTGGTCAGAGTGTGTCGGTACCGAGTTGGCTGCTGCTATAGGTCTGTGGGAAGCTGTGCGCCTCGGCACCGGGTGCCCATCTGGACGCAGACGGATATCTGGTGGTGCTCGTCTTTTATTAGCATACCAGATGGTGAGTGCATCGGTTGCCATGCTAGCGGTGAGGAATGTCACTTTCAGGAGATGGGGGGCTGTTCCTGTATAACTTGCTGGACGAGGTAGGCGGTGAACGTCCGTTGTGATTACGTTGACAATATTTAGTGTCTGCTGAAGGAACCGCCATTGATTACAGTCATGCTGTTGTCGTTGTTGTAAGGTTGCGTCAAGGGCATGCAGTTCTGGGACGCCATGCACGATGATGGAGCATGGTTGAGTGGGTGGCGTCAGTTGCTGTCTGCGCGCAGCGCGCTTAGTCCAAGGGATGTCGGGGAAGATACGAATTTGGTAAATGCCGAGAGACGCATTGTTTCGGAGTAGGTGTGCTGACAACAGGACATCCTCCATAGCCGGGCCTGGCTGCAAGTCAACACGCAGAAGTCTTGGCTTACCGGCGCTCGGAGATGAAGTGTGGCGAGTCAGTCTTGTGAGACTAATGGGTTTTGTTTCAGGGAGGTTTAACGCGGTACAGATTGAGCTCCACATAGTGGAATCATGAGAATGTCGATTCTGAAGTTGCGGGTCGTTGGACTCGGGCACGTTTGTACATATGACAGAATTAGGAGTAGGGCTACTCGTTATTCGCTTAGACGAACGCGGATGTGGAGCGGTAGCAAGCTTACTTGGTGGGAGGGCCTCCGTCGGAAGCGTTGGTCGTCGGCGAGTGTTGGGCAGACCAGCAGTTGGTAACGGTGAGACGGTACGTGATTCAGGACGGTTGGGAGGTTGCTGTCGTCGTTTGGCTAGACCGTCGACTTTCCGCAGTAGATTCTGTAGCTGTTCTTCCAGATTAAGCAAGCGCACTTCTGAGCGGCATTGTTGCTAGGCGGCTCGACGAATCGTGGTGACCGGGGCGACTGCGTCTGCGACTGCTTGTTACGCGGTGTGGAGGGCGGGTTAGTGGGAGACGAGATTACAGAACCAAGCATAGGGCAAGTCGTGGAGGAAAGGTCGCAAGGAATATCCCGCACGTAATTCGCAATCCTGGGAATGCAAACCGGGCAAATGTACCGCAGGACCGTCTGTGGATGCGAGCGACAGAATTCGATGTCAGTTGCATGGAGCGAATTGTCACAGGGAGCGTGAACACGGTGAAGACAGATCGAGCAGGTGATGGCTTTGGAACGAGGTCCTACACGCTGAGTGCAGATAGAGCAGGTGTTCAGTGGCCGCATTGGCGTAGTGGGCGAGACCGAAATGATCGGCATGGTCAAACAGATGACGTACAGATGACACAAATATCTGCAAATAAACGTAGTGGACTACCTGTCTCAAGAGAACAGAACGCGCAGGAGGTCGCTATCCGCAGTCACTGCCCGCGAGTTCATTGGCCAGCGCAAATAAGGGATTAATGTTTCTTTCAGTTTCCCTATCGTTTTTCATCTCCCTTTTGGTCAACCACGTACGAATACCCCAAAAATCGGCAAAAGCTTTTGAAAACGCCAAAAAACCGACAAAACTTTTCGAAAACCCAAAAGAACGCAAAACGTTGGGCAGGAAAATTTGGGCAGTAATTGGTTGGACAGGGTGTGATGCGGTCTTTGTTTTAGGCTTTTAAACATCACAAGCAGACCTGTCAATTCCCGATCCAACGA